GGCTGCTCCAGAGAATGGACACAAGAAAGTCCAGTCACATGCAGTGGGGGAACAGACCAGGGTCCCCCAACCCTTTCTGACCAGGGCAATAACTCTGTCAACATACAGCAATCTAAGGATGATAAGCGGCAAATTTTACATGGGGCAAAAACTATCCTATTCAACACTTTGGCTTGGAATCTAAAATATTTTCTTTAACAAAAAGAAAGTTTTCAATCTTTGCACTCCTTATAAATCAACTCCCCCCCAAAAGAATCTTTGGAAGTTTAGGGGGCCCTTCTGAATGTACACTGGGGCAATGGGGGGGGGGGGAGCTGCTGTGGGAGGGAAGGGATTGCAATATCTCAGGCTTGGATCCCAAAATAATAAGTTAAGATACTTAATCAGTCAATCAAATTTATTACGACTATAGATCATGCATAAAGATCACACAAAAGCACAGTACAGTGGAAAATAAAGGTTAAAAGGGTAAAAAGAAGCTCCAAGATACACAGATTTTGATATCAACCAGCTTCCAGGGTCCATATTGTTCCAGGGAGCTTCAAGCATTCACAGGCAACTGCGGAGAAGACAAGATGTCCTTCCTTTAATTTTACTGAATTAATTTATTTTAGGATCCAGCCTATTATCCTCCAGAATTGATGAGTTGCAATAGTAAGCGGGAAGAATTTTCACTACCTGGGAAGGGAAGGGCTTGTTTCTTCCTAATCCTACTGAGTTACAACTGAGGCATAAGATCCCTTTCACAAACCTATTGGAACTAGGGAAATGCCTTCTCCCAACTCTTTCGGGGAGACCACAACTTTATAACTCTCAGACATTGCTCTTACTTTATTACATTAGCCAACTGGACTTTATTAAAGGGGAAGACTCTGCTTATTAGGACTTTTTCACAGGTGCATCTCCAGGTACCCCTACTCTGAGGTTCAGTGGATGGAGGAAGGGCTATTTCTGCTATGGAACTCCAAACCTGGAATTCCACACTAAGTCATGCACACCTGACACCCTCATTCCAATTTTTTTTTTGTGCTTTGCAAAATGTATCCTGTTCCCCTAAGCTCTTAAAAGCAATTAAATGCCATTATGGCACTGAATATAAATACCTTATTTTCCTGCGTATAAGACTACTTTTTTACCTG